CGCGAATTGAGAAAGATGGTAATTTCTTTGTTATTGTTGGAACAACTAAACAATACAAATTTAAATTGAATCTGATGTTTGCGATTTTAATTGCACTTGATAACCATGTTTTATCATGCAATTCATATTGCTTAAGCCATTGATCGACTCGCAAACATTGTCCAATTTCAAACCTAGTTTTCTACTCGCTGCTAAAGTTATAAAATTAGTTTCGCTCGCGCTATCTAATAAGACTCGCAATTGACAGTTGTAATTATTACCTCCCTTAGCGTTTACAATTGCCGTTGACATGAGTACACGCTTACGCTCCGCGCCTCCTCGTGCATGATGCACCGACGGACCGGTTGCCGCTCTTCCCGAGGTAACTGTTGCCTCCCGCTCGGAAGTCGCCGGCAATCCTGCGCCGTGTGACTGCTCCTTTACATTGTCAGTGGAACTCATTTTGTTTTCCTTTTTGTGGCACAATGTATTGTGCCGCTCTCTGCATTCTCGACACAAACCCGACTTGCACTTCGCAACAAAATGATCATTGCGAAGACAATTGATGCAAAGCTTCAATCTTTTTACTGTTTGGATTCTATTTTCAACAGAAAAATTCAAAAATTGATTACAATTGTAAATAAGGTGAAGTCCGTGACACAAATAACATCGTCCTTGAACGGTTGTCGTTACTAATGTTTAGCCACGAGATTTCAAATGAAAAGACTGCTTTTTATTACCGTTGTTCTTTTCATAATTACTGGGATTTGACTTGCTGGTAACGTCCGCCGATTTTTTGCTCAGAGCTGCTCGCTCCAATACTTGACATCGGCGTTGCAAAAATTCGATCGCAGCATTGGTCGTTATTGTCTTCAATGTCTCGGCGTGTTCCTTGTGGCCGCTTTCTTGTGGCGCTGTCCAAATTCTTCTCGATCAGATACACAATCAGCTCCCCACGATTCCGTAGGCAGCTCCATGGAATGCAAAACTCGTAGATGTTTATGCACGTGATCTATGAGTTCTTGAATCGCTCCGGCGGATTCCCGATGCACCCGCGGCAGCTCGAAAAGACATTGAATGTGTCGCTTACGGATGGCTCTGTCGTCCTCGTATCGCTTTCTCAACAGCTCCCAAGCGATAATATAATTTTGCTCCGAAATTTCTATCAATTCGATTATTCTTGCCGCCGGACCGCTCAATGATCCCACGAGATATTGATGCTTCTGCACACCGGATAAATCGCTATTATGTATTAATGTTTTAAAGGTGCCAACATACCTTTTCCAATCTTCGATGTTTCCACTGAACGTCGGCAGCTTGATCGTTGGCAGCTTCACCTGTGATTCTCGCGGCGCGCCCGAATGCGTACTCATACGCTCTAACATCTGACCTTGTTGTTCTAATATTCTTGCGATGATATCACTGCCACTATTCTCATTTGATCGCTCCGACAACCGCTGAATGAGAATTGTTTGCTGCTCTAAAATTTGCGCTAGCATGTTGTTGTCACCCTGATTTCCGCTGCTAGATGCGGCTTGTAATGATCTCGTTTTCTCTAGAACGCGCAACAAAGACGTTTTCAATGAGACGTATCTCTCTTCAAATTCTGTTTCTTCCGTTGCGTCTCTCAGATCATATTCTTCTTCAGAAACGACCGCTATCAATTGCTGCGAAATGCTTTGAAATTTAGTAAGCGCATCTTCCAGATTCTAAACACGCACTTCGAGTTCTTCCCTTATGACAATCTTCGGTTTTTCAGTAATTCGATTTACGAAATTTCTTATTGATGTTAATTTTGCTTTGATTGCTCTTCTTTGTTTTTTCAATTGGTCACCGCTCATCTTGTCTCTCGATTACTAATGTAATTTTCGTGCGATCGACCGTTAAATTTGAATGTTTTGATCGTCCTTGCGACAAAGAAATTCAAAACACTAAACAGTAGCTGGCCTCGCGACAACACCTCGACCGGTCGCGCAACACAACACCGCCGACCTTACGATATCGAGCGATAATACGCTTGACTCGAATTAATTTGCCGAAATTATTATTAATTGAAAAAGCACCTTGAATTTACATCTTCTTGAACTTAATTCTTGTCTCTTGCTGCTTCCTTGCTGATCCACTGCTTGCGAACCTTCGGCTCGAAGGACCAGAAAAATGTACGTGCCCGTTTACACAAATCGTCCGTCAAAAATGACTTAATTATGAGTGGACTGTATTTAATTTATTTTGCTATTTGATTTACAATACTGGGAACCCTTTTGGTTTCCTTTGTAAAAATCGAGTTAAATATATAATGTGGTTTAGAACGAATTACTAATACTGAAACCACAAGACCAATACACAAACGAAGCAGAATAGAGAGCGTTGCTACGTCGGTCTTTCGCTTTTATTGCTCTCCCCGCTAAAGGATATTAAGTCGGCTCCTTAAATTTAAAAAAACACAATATGCACCTCCTTCATTTCGGTCAATAGAGCCAAACGCGATGTTATTGCGACAATTAAAAAAGAAAATTTGGAAACTAAGGAATTTGTATCCTATGGTTGGGATCTCAGAAATTCCCCTTGTTCCTCTATTAACTTCCCCTGTAAAGAAATAGGTGAGAAAAATATTTTGATTTTGTTTTGCTTTTTATTTGACATCGTCAATACTTAATAATTTCTAAAAGAGAATCTAAAATCGGACTCCAGGTAATAATATAAATACATAATTAAATACAAATAAGGACCAATGTGAGCTAGAATAGGCAGGGTGGATAAAAGGAAAAAAATCGGTTTATTGCATCCTCTAAGAGTTTATAAGGCGCTTTTTTTGATAGGAGCGTTCTCGAACCTTTACAACGTCTTATCAATCTTACTGATTTTACATATTCATCCTTCCTTTCCCTCTCTTTTCCTTTCTCTTCAAATTCTCTATCCTCCCTTTCTTCTTCCCTTCTTCATCCCTTCTTGTATTTCCCTCCTTCTTCTCCTATTTACCCCTTTGCTTCATCCTGCCTCTCCTTTCCTACTTAATTAATTCTGCTTTTCTTTTTTTCTCGCTACTCTATATCCTTCTTTATATTTTTCCGGCATATGGAGTGTGTTGGTTCGAACTAAATTTGAACCTGGAACCCTTCGCATATCCTCCTACGACTCTATATGCTAGGCCACTTTTCACCTAATACACAGGATGGGAGGCACCAAATTAAATGTTTTCTTAAGATTAAAAAAAAGATGTCCAAAAAGTGCGATTTTTTGACCTCGAGTGTAAAGTAAAATTCGAGTTGTTTTAGGTTTCATATATCTAGAATAATGTAAAACCGTAGTGGTTTTTCTTGGAAATGCAGGGAACGTTTAAATATTATCATATGTATACAAAAAAATGACGTAAATCAATATCTCATGAATTGAGATTTCTTGATGTTTTAGCCGAATATTCTGGTAATATATTAGTAATACCAAGTTTCTAAGATTATTTAAAACGATTTTAATGTCAGTCAATCATAAATTGAATAATATATATACAGGGTGTCTGTAAAGTCCGACCTGAGCTCTTTATCTTGGAAACGATTTGGGATACAAAAAATGTTTCAAACAAAAGTTGTAGGGTTTCGAGGGGGACATAAAATCATGCCATTGATTTAACCTTGAATAGTCATTTGAAAATCATGTGACTATTCAAGGTTAAATCAATGGCATGATTTTATGTCCCCCTTAGGTAAAGGTCACCTTCAATTTCCTCCCCCGTTCCACTTTCTCTCCCTCGTATGCCCCCCCTCCCCCAAAAATAAAGCTCCCGCTGCCTCAACAAGAAGGTTAGGATTCGGCTATCAGCCCGGGAAAGTCGCTTGCGGAGAGCTCTTCCTAAAACAGGATGACATCTCCCTGACGGGAGGAAAGAAGACGAACGACCCGAAAGTCGATATGTAGACTCCGTCCCGGCCTCTTCAGTCTTTTTTGTCTTGGAGAGGTTAAGGTATTTGGACATACGCCTTTCCTCTATCCTTTCTTCGGCTCCTACTTTTTCTTCTTCTTTTGGGATCCGCGTTCTCTATATATATACATATATATATATATATACTCTATATATATATATACGGAAGTTCGGCAGCTTTCGAGTCTTAAAAATTATAGACACACACGCACGCACGTACGCATGCACACACACTTACCGCGTATAACAGATAGCTAATTGCAGCGAGCGTAATCATTCGCATCAGATGATGAGTTGTGCCATTTTTGCTTAATACTTTTTGTATTTGTTCCATAATTTGCTAATTATTTATCTTTATAATTTAAAAACTAATAACTAAAGAATTATTTAAAAATAAAATGATATTTAGGCCAACTAAACGAGCAATACAATCTTAGGATGTTATTTATTTATTTTGTACTTATAAACATTAAAATTATTAAAAAGTTGCAAACGTTTCGATTCTACTACTGTCTTCTTCAATACAATAATAATAAAATAAATATACAAAATGTACATACTTTTTGAAATATTGTTTTATTATCAACTAAATAAATTAACAAATGATATTAATATACGGCTCTTATCATAATAACAAGATAGAAAGAATATTTGCTGCGAGAGCCTAATGTTTAGCAATTCGCTAAGACAAGTCAAAGGACAATCTTGAAATTGAGATTTGAATTCCTCTGTTCCCTTTACTCCCTAAATTGATGAAGACGAGAAAAATATATTGGTCCGAAAAAGTCGGCTGAATCGGGAATCGAACCCGAGACCTTTCGCTTGCTGGGCGACTACTTTTTCCATCTGAGCTCTTCAGACACCTTAACAAACCGATATGCCTCTCTCGTCTATATGTATACTAATGAAATCACGCATATTTACAGTCAACGAGTACTAATAACAAATAATATTAATATAAATAAATTAAATTTTGAAAATTAAAGATTGAGAATCAATAATTTAAATGTTCTGTTTATTGAAAGAAAACATAGAATAAATTTTATATGTTTATTTAAATATATACATATATATATATGCATATATATATATATAATTTTTTCAGTGGCATGCGCATGATAGTCTCATACTTATTACTTGCTATGGCAACAATGGTCTCATACTTTCTGCTGGCGAAGATTGTAAATATAAGGTATGTAATTTCTTAATTATTGTATATTTTGATGATAATTCGAATATCTATCATAAAAGTAAACCAAAATAAAATAGGAATTCTGATTAAATCCGACACATTGACAATTGAAATAAATGTTAAATTTATTATGTTACGTTTCGATCATACGGGTTGTGGTCCTTCTCAAACAATTACAGTATTTTACAATCTGGAAAGTCGTTACAAAAAAATTTTTATATATACATATAATTATACGTGAAAACAAAAAGTCAATACAGATACTTACATTTAATATTACATTAATTCTTTAGAAAGTTGTTTATGAAGTATATTATAATTTAGTCATTATTTAAAAGAAGAAAACGGAAACAGACAAAACGCTTGAAAATCGCACATCCGAATTAAATGAACGTGTTTTTACATCTAAAGAACAACGCGGTATCTATCACATATATATCCCAAGTCATTTCATTTTAAAAATAAACAATCATATGCTGTACTAAATTTTTCCGTGTTCTTCTGTAAATTTATTATTGTGTTTAATTTTTTAATATAATATATTTCAGCGATTTCTGTTTTTTTTTTTTTTTTTTTTTTTTTTTTTTGCGATTATTCTCCCTATGTAGGACCGACGGATTTAACCAATTAAAACTCATGATTAAAATTAATCTGTGTTCACTGATAACAGATATAATTTCCGATGAGCTATTAATATCTTGTTTATGTTCATTGATTCTAACACTTAAATGTCTTTTGTCTGTCCACATAATAAGAATCGCACATATTACATTTATGTAACAAACAACGCCAGTCTGCTTATCGACGTCCAATACATCTTTCCCGCTTTTAATCAAACAATTGAATTTTTTTTTGAAATTGTGAAGACGACATTAAATTCTTTTTTCTTAGATATCGGTCAAATATGTATTGCAGTACGGAACAATAACATAATTTTCAAGTTTTTTCCTAACCCTGGGATTACAATATTTTCTTATTTACATCGAGAATTTGCCTATACATTTCATTCATTCTAAAGTTTATATGCTTTTTTATCAGTTTAATTAGGAAGCAGTTATTAAGTAAAATGTCCTTTACTGTTTTTAAATTTACCTGATGAAAACGATCATCCGTGAGTAAAATGCGTGGGCTGATGATTGTGTTTATTTTGGATCTGTGCATAAGTCCGTAGCGAAAATCGAAAAATTTCAAACGCAAAATCTTACCTTAAAAAGCGATCTAATCAACTATATATCCCATTCTGTTCGATGACTTTCTGCCATCTATCC